CGCCGTCTGCATCAGAGTCGTCTCCCGTCCTGAGTCCTTGATCTCGTCGCCGCCACAGAGACGCTCTCGCCGACCGTTGGATCACTCTCGCCGCTGAGTCCTCATTCATCTCCACTGGGGTCAACGCACAGCCCACCCTAAACCCTAAACCCTAAATGGCCTGGTAGTATGCAGGAGCTCTTAGTGTCTCGCTATGAATTGCTCAGCGTTGCATCACTTTTGCGTGAAATGCAATATGTGGAAGCGAGGGAGCCATCAAGTTGACTTGAGTTGATCGGGACACTAATAGATGTCTGATGCGCTGTAAGATAAGATAAAGGCCTCCCGTTGAAATATCATACTTATACGATGCGTCGAGCAACAAGTTCACCGACATAAACCACATCCATGTTCGTTCACTCACTACGCCCTCCGAGAGTAGTGTTCTGTAAAAACCACTACTATCAGTCAAAGTTCGGACCGATTTGCATGCTCCAGAGTTTATTCAGCTTGTACGTATCCGTCAGAAGCTCGGTCCCTGGCGCTATCGTACCCGCGTAGTCCTTTGGCACCATAAACGTGAATTCCGAATGAAAAGGATCGTCCTTACAGGAAGTTTCCCGAAAGGCGTCAAAACGTTTGGCATCCGGTATCCACATATCGTCGTTTCGGTGGCCACCCGGTCGTTCGGTAGTATCAAAGACCACATTGGCGACTGCTCCTGGAGGAGCAACGTTGATTAGACATAATGGTTCGATCTCTGGGCTCGTATACAGAAACGCACCATGTTGAGCTCGTAGATCTGTCCCCTTCTCGATCACCTCAAATGCATAGAATGTGTATGACATCGTCGGCTGACCCCATCGCTCCTTATAATCTCGTCTCAAATACTCAAGGCACTTCTCATAAATCACCCAACTGCTCAAGTTGCCAGGCAGAAGAACGCTCTTGATACCTTGGAATGAGTCATATGCGCGTAGTGGTAAAAGAGATATAATACCTCGGTCAGCCTCGGGGATGTTTGAGTCGATGACCTGAACGTGTTGCTCTTTGAGATCCTTGACGGCCCGTTTGTAATATACTGGGTATTCTTTGAGGAGCTTGGATGCCCCGACATTGTGAGGTAGCTCAGCTGCAATCTTTCATGCAACAACGTAATAGCGACTGTCTTGTCTTGCATCCACGGGATTGTTGGATGCGGCTGCCTGGGCGTCTTCATAAGCCTTCTTCATGCGGTCAGTGATTTCACCATTCTTGCTGCGCTGCCCTGTCCGATACTTGTTCTCCATGAACTTATTGGTACGTTGCACGAACTCATGCGTAGGATCTAGCTGCTTCAGGGCGTTGTACTTACGGCGATTTGATTCATCCAAGGCATCCATAAGTATCTTCCGCTTAAGGCTGCTGGTCACTGTCCCCTTGGCACGTCCAAGAGTGTAGTCATTCGGGTTCATCGCCTGGGTGGTCTTCTTTATGACGCCGTCCCGTGGCGCACGAGGCTCTTTGTCAGCTCGAAAGGTATACTCATCTCTTTTCTTCTCTGCCTTCTTCTCATGCATCATCTGACTTCATTCTTGGAGTCGGAGTCGCTCTGCTTCCTCTTCTTCGCCTGCCGACTCTTTGGAGGCCCGTCTCATGCACCTGGCGAGCTGTTCGCGGGGTATGGAGACGAACGCCATTGGTTGACACAGCCAGGGCGTGGCATCGTCGCTTCTTCGCCATCCGATGCCAGGTAGCAGGCTCTGTGCCGTTGTTGCAGCCGCAGGAGCCAAGACCCGAAGACTGGCAGGGAAAAAGCGCAAGAACCTTGCCATAATGTCTCTTCAGGAGTCTAAGAGCTAGGAGAGCCATATGAGCACAGTCGATCGCAAAGCGGCACCTATATGTTGCCGTCTCCCGCAGCGCCTTTGCAGGTCCGCCTGCCTGCTTCTGCCCCCTTGCATGTTGCGTGTTGCATGTTCCATGTTGCCTGTTGCGTGCTGGACAAACACAGGACCAGGCCGTCGGGCCGCCTAGGGCATTCGGTGGAACTGCTGCCGCAGCTCATCTGGTAAGCGAGGAGGCGGTCACAAACTACCGAGGTCCCTAACTTGAGGCGCAGCATCGTGCTGACTAGAACGGTCATCGACATAATTCCCCCGCTCTGGTTTCGAATTCTTACTGACGGCAAAATGGATCTGCATTCCTTTGTTCGTTCTCGTTTAGCGGCACCATCTGCGTCTGGGCGCTCACGGCGGTTTCGCGTGACGCCCTAGGTTTGAGTCTTTGATCGGTCGTAAATTCGACCTCCAGAAGACCCGAATCCTCGCTTCCCATACAATAGCGGGCTCAGCAAATCCGAGAAATGGTCCCGGTGCAGTCCTATGGAAGTGTTTGCATTGAGTAAGGACAACATGTGCGCTGGAGTATTAAGCAAGGGATGATGAATATGGCATATTTCTAT